TTTAAAAATGCATCTGCAGCCAGCTGCTATGCTGGTGAAACGACAGGTAGTTTTTTGAGGTACTTTGGGTGGAGGTTCCTCTGATTCTGCTTTGTGCGATATGGGAACTTGAAACCAGGCAGAAAGGGGTCATGCTTCTGAATTGTCACCAACGTCTTCTTTGAGGGAGTGTGGGGAACAATAATATCATTCGGTAATTAAATAGTAGTCAAGAATCTAAGCCTTTTGTCAGTCCCTAAGTTCCAGATACTACATATATTCTTTGGGACAATTTAAAAATAGTGTTAGCAAATTGCGATCCAAAATTAATACGGAGGATGTGGTCAGAGCCTCCCCTAGGTTTGAAACAAAGATCTTGATGAATGCTCTTTTCCGATTCAGGATTTTAATTATATTCTATTTCTTTGTTTTTTAAGGAAGAAAAGCTTCTGAAAACACTTGTGCAGCACGGGGTCCGCAGTGGAAAAACTGCCAGCCTAGAAATGGAAGTGGACGGGCTGCCCTTCTACAACACCCATTCGCTTATGATTGAAAAGCTGCTGCAAGAAGTGCAGCAGTGACTGCCCGTAGTGATTTCTATATCAAGAGTTGCTCCTCTGTTATTTCCTTATTCCCTAGGCTCTCACGCAAGGTGTAAAAGATCAGAAAAAGATGACTTTTCGTCTCTAATGTCTTGGCTGCGCACCACTTCTCATTGTTACCTTTACAACATCTCTGTGAAGCAAGAAGGGGCTATCATCATGATGATTTGGTCTACCTTTCTTTTCTGTAATTGTATAATGGAGATTAAAGGATACTATGTATTAAGAGGTGATCTGTCTTTTACAAAGAAAGCTTGTCATTAAAATGAAATATTATTGCATTGCTGTTCCTGTTTTACTAAGCTCATAACTGCAAGAGGAAGCAACTCTTGTAGCAACTTGGATTTAAAAATACTTTGTGGTGAGGAAAACAGCTGCAGTGGAGAGAGGAGGTTCAAAACAAAAAAAAAAACACCAGTAAGTGTTACAATAGTGAAAGTTGTTAAATGCAGCCCCCCCTGCACACCACCTGTAAGCCCTCTAACTGTCTTCTCGTGGTGGTGGATAGTTTGTGGAAGTGAGGGGAGATAAGGGGAGAGCTTTAACTGAGCTAATGAAAGTAGGGGCAGCATTGCAGAGTTTCCACGTAAAGGGGAGGCTATACCCTTTGCCTCCTTCGTATGAGCAGTTTCCCATTTATATATTTTGTCCCTTTCTGGGTAATACAGAAAGGTTGTTGATAATTCCGGGTGTCCTGTTCACTTAAATGAATTAAATACATAAATAGTGATTAAAAATCAATGCTTAGAAATTAAAGAACATTTGCATTCATTACGAAGTAAAATGATGAACTCCGGTTATAGAAATTCTGCTCCCGATGAGACTAAGTGAAGTAAAATTAAATTGTATCTCAAAGGCCTACTGATGCCGAACCAGTAAAAGACAAATGGTTGTGAATTGTGCCTGACCTTTGTCATTTAAAGCTGTGATTTTACTTTAACCCCAGCTGAGTGTCAGGGCTGAAGTTCTGCTGGTTGCCAGCCCTCGCAGCAGAGAGGACAGGGTATATTTGACACGTCACCTCTCAGGCACTGGTGCTTTAGCTGTCATTAAATGATTATATTGGTACAGAAGGTGAGCATAAACCATTGCGCTTTAACGGGATGAGAATGGCAGTTGTGTTTAGCCACTGTTTTTTCCAAAGGACAGTGGACTTCCAGAAGCCAGGAACACCTTGTATCTACTTCTCTTTCTGGCAGGTGAGTTTTATTTTCCTTCTCTTACATAAGACAAACACATAATTTTTTGAGAACGAGAAAAATCAGTTTGTACCACAAACACCTGCGTACTTTGATCATTAATCTTCTGAAGTCCTTTAGGATACACAGACTTAAAACAGTTGAACACATGTGAGAGAAAGAAATCTTAATGCCCTACTTGCTGGTAGACATTCACACTAACCAAATCTCCCAACATTTATTTTATGGATCAGTCATTTTTTAGATTCATTTTATTTAAAGCCATCTTGAAGGATGTTGCAGTGAAACTATCTTTGAAGTTTCACAACTAGAAAATAGCTCCTTTAGAAGTCTCCAAACTCTCCAAACTATAAATGTTAAGTAAAATATTTCATATGAATGCTTGAGTTTTTGCCAAAGCCAGCAACCCCGCAGGATGGCATATGTTTACTGCTGCACAGAACCCACAAAATGAAATTAGCATCATTTAAAAATGTCTGTTTGGGGAAGGAGGCAGCTGATTTCCTTCTCTGTGTGCTGCGTGCTCAGTAGCTTACTGACATACCACACTAACAGGTGCAATGTATATTATTCTTTGCAAACACTAACTTTTGTCAAAAAAATTTCATTTTGTAAGCTTTTGCTCTTTTTTCCCCAAAATACAAGTTTTAACAGTTAGATTTCATTAAGAAATATAAAATGTAATAATTCATTTTGCTTTTTCTCTGATGTATGTTTTTAAAACCCCTTAGCCTGTGCAGTTCCAAGCACTGTGTTTAATCTGATAGCAACGTGTAGTGAATCTCTAGCAACCATAGCAGGACCCTAGATTGACTATGTTCTGGCTGAGACAGAAAGAAAAGCTCTGAATGAGAGTTGCCTTCCTCCCGTATTGGTTACAGTTCTGCAGACTAAGCCGAACAGTTACAAAATAGAAAGAAATGATAAAATATTGACTTCAGGAAAAAAAAAAAAAAAAAAAAAAGAAAAAACCTTCCCCTTCTGTTACGGGTTAGCAGGTTAAATGTTGAGAACTGCAGCAGAATGCTGGACTCGGTTACACATGTTTCCATCTGATTTTTAACTGCAGCAGCTGACCAAAAGCTGACCACATCAAAGTACCAACTCAAATAAGCCTTAATCCCTCAGATGACAATTCGATGGAACATGGCATGCTCTGCATTCCATCTGTCTAATTTAAACAACGTGGGTTACTGTAAAGTAAAGCGTAAACAGGACAACAAATATTTCATCCTCGAACAAACCACGTATGTGTGTTACAGCCCGCCAGGTCATGGGAGTCCAAGTAGTTGGCTCAGTGCTTAAGAGTACACAAGCGCGGCGGTATGGCTGTGGTGAGTCTCTGCCTTACGACCCCGTTGATAGAGACAGAGGAGATCAGAGGAAAGATTAGGAGAAAATAAAGCTAAACAGCACTAATAGTCTGAAGAAAAAATGCATGTCTAAGGTAATTAATCCAGCTTGGCGAGTGGTCTAAGTATAAAGAAATGTAAAATAATTAAACAAAGCAAATGTTAACCTAAGCAAACCTAATCCCCTCCTGGGAGTGGGGACATGAATTCTTTCTGCAAGAAGAGGGAGGAGAGGAGCTGTAGTCTCACAAGTAGAAACTGTGGGCCAAAGTCGTAATATAGTTACTTCAAACACAGAGTGAACAAATATAGAAAGAAAATAATAAAAACATTCTTTATTAAAACACATCCCCTAATTATTTCTAATATTGCGCTCTCAAGGTGGTTTCCAGAAAACTCTTAGAATATATTGCCTTTTAGAAACTGGTGACAAGTAAGGCTTTGTTACATGACATACTTCAGGTACCAGGAGTAGACTGTCTGGCTACAGGATCTTTTGACATTTAAAAAAAAAAAAAAAAAAAAAAGAAACAAAACTGATTCTACAACTGGAAGTTATCACCTCCAGGTTGCAGAGAGAAAGCGGTGTTTCAAGAAAGGTTTGAAACCAGAAAAGTGAAAGGACAAGGCAATATTCATGGTGTAACAGTTACAGATACAAGAAGGTATGATGAGCAGATCACAAAGAATCATAAGGGATACATTAGTATAAGAAAGAAAAAAAAAACAAACTAGAGAGGAGATAGTGGTAGAAACAATAGCATAGAGCACAACTCCCACACCTTTAACTGCCACTATCTCCACTTATTCCTGTATTTTTTTTCTGTGTAAACCAGGAAACATAGATCATTGATACATCGTATTTCTGATATTGTATGTACTGACCAATGACCCAACCCTAAGCTATAGTATCTGTGGGAGAAAATAGAGTTTAAACAGAATCCATTTAAGTTTCCCTGACAAAGGCATTGTTATTTAATTGGCTGCATGGTCTATGCTGCACAAGACACACCAATTTTGAAGGACACAATCCAAACCTTAGCAAGGTTTAGCAGAATCCAGCTGTAACTAAATTTGTCTTTGAACACAGTGACTCAGAGACGTGCATGGGTTCAAAGCACCTCACATACTACCAACCTCCTGTTCTTTTCCAAGTCAACAGACCAAATTATTTATCCCCATCGGAGCCAAGAGTTCTCATACCTCTGGAAGTCAATAGGAGCCTTACAATGATGTTCAACAGTCTGAGATTCAACAGTCAATCAACAGCCTGAAGGTCTCAGCAGATGCTGAGTTCCCTACGTGTGTTCTCCCAGAACATGACATCTTATTGGATTGTTTTAGGAGGTTGGTTCTGGCACGGTCTCTGCAGGCCTTGAAACTGGCTGAAGGAGAAGTTATTTCAGAGAGTTACAGGGATGTTACAGAAATGCAATTTTTTTTCTTTGGTTCTTTTCAAAAGTACATACGGGGACATTTAATTTATTTTGTCTCCAACCTTTTCAACAGATGATGACAGCTTGTAGAGAATAATTTTTTCTAGGTGGCAAACAAAGAGCAGTTAAAGTCAAATTCAACAGAACCACACACAGTGAGTACTAGCTTATTCCAGTCAATGCAGTCATCAAGACAAGAGGTTTTGAGTGGTACCACAATGACAACAGAGACGTGATTGTAACTGAACTGACTTAGCATGTGCTTTCCTCACTATTGCCAAAGTCCAAGCACCTCCAGAAACGACCTCACTGTACTGCATTGTTAATAAGCTTTTCGGAGGTAACACAGTTGTAATAGGCGGATAAATCAGAGGCATACACAAACACGGCCACAGCTGCAAATTTTAGATTAATGTCCTTTTTTGATGAATGCTATAGGTTGCCCATGTAAGTTGTGGCGGAGTCCTTCATTCCAGTACTACCATGTGATATTTGTAATAACCCTGGTTGTTGCTCATGCTCATGCTGTGGCCTGTTAGAAGTTTCTGGAACATTCAGTGGATATGATTCCTTTGTCTCAGTCCTCAGACACCTTAAACATCTTAAACAAGAGTCTCGCATCTTGGCAAAGTTCTGGTAAGTGCTTTCACTGGAAAAACAGTACAATACTGGATCAGCAACACAGTTAAAAGTAGTCAACAGGAGAGAAACGTGGTAAATATTAAATATTTTCACAGCAAACGAACAGTTGTTCTCCAGCAAGCTGCGAACCACAAGTAGGATGTGGTATGGTGCAAAGCAAACTAAAAAAATGAAAACAGTGCTTGAAACCAGTCGTTTAATTTGGATTTTCTTCTTCTTTTGAGTGCCATGACTCTTGTGGACAACTCGTAAAATCCCACAGTAAGAGAAGGCCAGCAGAAAGAAGGGGAAAAGGAAGCCAGCAGAGAAGCGGTAGTAATTGAGATTGTGCTCCCATTCTTTGATGGGGTAATGCTCGAAACAAACCACGTGGCTGTCAGCATCCATACTGGTCTCCCCGTGCGTAAAGACAAAGCAGCACGCCATTATTTCTTTGGTCCAGATAACGATGCTTACAATCACAGCAGCCTTCATTGTCCGAAAGCATTGAAATCGAAAAGGGTGCACTACTGCGAGATAGCGGTCGATGGAGATGCAGCAGAGGAAGCCCACACTGATATAGATATTCTCATACAAGAGGATGCCACAAATTTTGCACAGCAGCTCATCGTAGGTCCAATTGTCATGCTGTAAAACATACTGAAGCCAAAAAGGCAAAGAAAAGATATAGAGCAGGTCTGCTACAGTCAAATTGCAAAGGTAGATACCCAATTCGTTTTTAGCCTTGATCTGTAAATACCCATAGTAGAGTGACAGGCAGTTAGCTGGCAGGCCTAATACAAATACAAATATGTATACCACAGGGGATAATGTCTGGTGGATATCATGATTAATAGTGCACTTCTCAGTTGCATTCTCTGTGAAATTCACCATCTTCTATGTCTCCCCGTATATCATTCATCAGGATCCTGATGTAGCATTTAATTTTGTCCAGTTTCATGTATTGCTTATTTCTTCCACAAACCTTTAGGCTGAAGTGATGACTTGCTGCAAGTTGTTAATAACCTGAAGGTAAAACACATTAAAATCTTCAGAAGGGATACGATTGTCAAGGTTTTCAGTTAGCTGCCTTTTCCTAGCCTTAAATTTCCTTACAGTCTTTGACAGAAGATAAAGCCTGTCTGGGAAATCACTATTCATAGAGTAAGTCCTAGTACTTACCAGAAAAGTACCAGAAAATTTTACGTCCAAGAAGACTAAAGCAAATTACAAATATTTGTCGCTTTAGCTTTGCAAGTACCTAAATGGTGAAGAAATATCTGTCTTTTGCAGATGAGGCACAAAAGCAGTAAGCTGATTTGTCCATGATGGAAAAAATGTCTCTGGCACACCAGCAGTCCACTAAGAATTCCTTAGAGGACGCAGGGTACACAAGACAGTTGCTTTTTAATTTCCATTTCTTAAATTTCCCTTTAGATACAAGATACCATGGAATATGCAATTCAACCCATCAGGATGAAAAAAAAAAAAAAGGAATTTTTAGCATTCTCTCTTAGTTACTTGTAAACACAATCCTGAAAGCAAGCTGTCTTTCTCTGTCAGAAGGACACTGTAAAAATCTGGTACGATGTATCCCTGTGGTCTCAGTCCTACAGGACATGGTATTGCAGATTCCTTATTTGCCATCAACTCTCAAACCCACTCATTTACTGTTACTATCTATACATTTGTATCTTTCCTTTTCATCTTCATTGAATATGAATATAATTTTTTTCACCTGAAGAATCTTCTATAATTCAAGCACATACCCATACAAACCGTTCCTATACTATAATATTACTGTCTAAAAAACTTATAAAAATAACTTATGACAATGGGTTAGCACTCAGTTCAGCGAGGACGAGCGAGGCCTTGAGCCAGCTCCCAGTGATTAAACCCTAGACTAAACGAAGTACCACATTCAGCATTTTATCACCTCACGTGATATATTCCCATTGGCACAAATGCTCAGGACTGGAAAACAGCGGGGCAAACTGTGCCCAGTCTGAAGGGGACGTATGTTTTATCTGATGATGCAGAACAGCGAGACTGTATTTCTTTCAATCTCTTCCCAGAAAATGCATGGTTGTAGTGTACACTTTGATGTACTCCTCCTACAGCTTCAGTTAATATCGACTCAAAAGGAGACAGCACTATCCAGGGACAAAGATAAGGTCTTGTTGCTTTTTCCTGTTTACTGTCCTAATTTGTGGTTTTGTCATCATCTTCTGTCCTGTCTAGGAACATACGATTTTTTCCAAGGCAACCCTATTAAAACATGAGCACGCTACAGTGAAATTGCTGTCAGCTGCAGCATTTGAGGATATTAGTGTCAAATAATTTTTTTATGATTTTTTTTTTTTAATAATCGTGGGCTTTACTCCTGCAGAAAATGAAAAGAAAATCACTTCCTTTGGGCCAGAAAAGAATTGCCCCGCTGAAATAAGTGACCGCAACTGAAAAGACTTTCAGTGTTTAGCTTCAACTTGTGTAGCATAGTCCCACAGAAATCACAGCAAACTTAAGGATATGTGTAAATATTTAAGAATTAGAATGTGTTTTTCATTCCTTTGCTTTCCTCTTTTTCTTACCAACAGACAGAACACCAGCCCCGGTTTTGGTGGAAGTATTCTTGGGGATGTCAGATACCTTCAGTCATGAAACAACAGGCCAACATAAGCTCATCTCTCTCAAAACTTCTAACTCCATTGTCCAATGCAACTTGTGTGAAAGACTGGTCAAGTCTAGCACTCTGCTCTTCTACTCTCGCTCTCACGCAGCTCCCATGGAAATTGCTGAAGTTATGTACTAATTTCCCAAAGAACTGTTACTTAGGGACCATTAGCTTTCCCGTAACACCATCCAGTGCACTAAGCATTTCCCAATGGCTTCAAAATCATCACTCAGCTTTTCTGTCTACAGGAGACGTGGCTCCACACCCACAAGGACAGCACAGGTTTGCCAAGGCAGGTTTGATAACCTACTTACCCCACCTCACCTTTTTCAATCCAGAGCTCCAGGCCCCGTACAATTGTATGTGAGTTTGTATTTGATACCATTTCGTTTCTGTGTAATAATTTGGTGACTTCTACATATAAGAATTTGTCTGCACAGGATGATTGGCACGCCTAGTTACAATCTAAAATGCCTAAAAATCTGGGATCTATCACCTAATCTACCAACTAAAAGTGTCCAGTCAGTGTCCAGCTCCTGTTGATGAGGCCAAATAGTAATTCAAAAGCTGTCGACAATTTTGAAGTCAGAACTGTCTTTATATGTCTAGCACAGTTCAACAGCGCCGAGTTTCATTTAGTGTTACCCAGTGAGTCAATGTGGATCACAGTATGAGAAAAAGCAGATGTACTCTGCAGTTGCAGTTTTTTTGAAAATGTTTCTTTTCCTCTAAGAACTCAAAATGTTTTTATTAAATTATGTTTATGTCACAGGGAATATGATTGCAAAAATCATTTCTGTTTAGCTTAAAAGTCTTGCCAGAATGCAGAATGTGAAGGAGACAGCAAAAGTCTTATTGATACGACATTATGCTAATGTAATATACACTTATGATTACAGCAACATTTCCTGCACCCGGAGGAAGTGCTGGAGTGGGCTGTTTCAGGGGGCAGGAAGAGAAGGCTGGCTGTTGCGAATCTCTTTGCCTTGTGCTAAAAAACCCTCCTCAATATCAAAGACAGGGATGAAAAACAAAGGTCCAAATCCTTGCTTGTGCGATAGCTGTCTTACACTGCTCTTCTGGTCAGCAGCAGCAGTGAGGCAGGAAATCCTTCCCCTGTTTCAGCCTCCTCAGTGCCCCGGGACGCCTTTGTGCCCTCTGGCCCCTCGTGCCTGGCTAGTGACAAGCTCAGTAGCCAAACGGGAAATATAAAGTTAGTTCGTCTTTCCCCCAGCACCAATGATACTAAACATAGCTCTGCACCAGCCAGGGAGCAAAACGATGCTTTCTCAATGAAGCTGGTATCAAAGTACTGCAATGGCAATGTTAACAGATGTTAACAGTGTGGAAGAGCCCACCCTGTTATTAAGAACATAATACGCAATACCTTACAAGCTGTCTGGAAAAGTGGAAACTGAAGGAAAGGCAGCGCAGGGTATGGAAGAGAAAAGACAAATAGCTCCTTCATTACTTACTGACCTCATCTGGTTAGGAGGAGGAGAAAAATGAAAAAAGTTGCTGTACGGAAAACATCTGGGGTGCAGATAATCATAAAGCTGAAAGCAGTTACGAATGGGAACACACAGGCATTCCTTTTAGACAGCTTTAATATGGAAATAGTGCAGCTGGGTGGTTTTTCAGTGCATAGTTTATGCAACACCTTCAGCATCACAAGTCTGCAGACATTGCCAGGCAATATTTCCCTCTCGTATATGCCCACATCTTTCAGATGATGCCCATCTAAGCTGAAGTCTTGGAAACAAATTAGAAGACTCTTGCCATCTACATGAGCTCTAAACCATTCTCTTATTCCTGGGTGAAAAATAAAACCAAGGTTCCCTGGACTTCAGAGCACTTCACTTTTTCTTGGTTTAAATGAGCCAACTTTCATTACTCACTGGACAGTTCAACAATGGGTTCTTTTCTTTCCAAATGCCTTCATGCTTTAATTGTTGATAAAAACACGACTCCCCCCTGCACCATGAACCATGGAGCAGCTCACATGTGAAGCACTGACTGCTGGTATCAGCACAGGAAACAGCTCAGAGACACTTAGAACCACAGCCTCTTCAGCTCAGACGAAGTACTAGCATGGAGCCTGAGTGGTTGTTTAGTTTCAGTGAACATTGCTACAATCGCCCTCGTAAGAAATCTGTCTGCAGTAAGACCTACACATTTTCAGCAGAGACAAATGGGACTGTGCCAAAGGACTTCCTTATAGGCATTTGCAAATGTTGCGCACACAGCTTGTCTCATCCACAAAGCACTCGTTTCCTTGAGCAGGGAGTGTAACGTGGTCGCACATCTTTATGTGACAGTGGCTCTTGCTGTTTAATCTGCCCCTGCACCTGTCCTACGCCGCAGACAGGCCTGAGTCACTCGGCTGTCATAGCAGGACTTGGACTGTGCTGCATGTCTTGGAACCAGAAACCTGAGGTTGTTTCAGTTTAGGGTTTGGTTCAGATCATTACCCACACAGACACCAGCCCTTAAGTTCACACACTAAGCTTCCCCCAACACTTGAGGGTTTGTCAGCTTGGTTTGGTCCTCGTTCACAAAGCCAGGAAAAGTTCACAAAGGAAGAATAAGGTCAGGTAAGGAGGCTGGGAAGTGATGACCAGCAGCATTGAGTAGGGACTGGTCAAACAATATAAAATGAGCAGAAACTGACTAGTATCCTTAGAGAAAGTTTAAAAAAAATAAATGTAGAAGAAAGTAGAAAACAGGGTGCATGACTGATTATGAGGAAATGGCACAATGATGTTTGGATTCAAACAGAAGAATTATGATTTAAAAGAAAGACCTGTGGTACGGGTCCAGAGGGCTGGAGCACCGCTCCCATGAGGACAGGCTGAGAGAGAGTTGGGGTTGCTCAGCCTGGAGAAGACAAGGCTCTGGGGGGACCTTATTGTGGCCCTTATATACTTAAAGGGGGCTTATAAGAAAGATGGGGACAGACCTTAATAGGTCCTGTAGCTATAGGACAAGGGGTAATAGCTTTAAACTAAAAGAGGGTAGATTCATACTAGATATAAGGAAGAATTTTTTTTACAATGAAGGTGGCACAGATTGCCCAGAGAGGTGGTAGATGTCCCATCCCTGGAAACATTCAAGGTCAGGTTGGACGGGGTTCTGAGCAACCTGATCTAGTTGGAGACATCCCTGCTTATTGCAGGAGGGTTGGACTAGATGACCTTTAAAGCTCCCTTCCAACCCAGACTATTCTATGATTCTAAGATTCTAAAAGCGTCACAAGCACAAAGAGCCATAAAAGGCAATGAAGGGTGATTTTATTAACACACAAGAAAAGGAAGGGTAAAGAAACACAAGTACACACGAGGCACAAACACAA